CGAGCTCTTCAAGGCGGGCAAGATCACCGCAGATTATGTCTCGACAGAAGAGCAGCACGCCGATATGCTGACCAAGGTCCTTGGTAGGGGCAAGTTGGAGTACCACCGGAAGGCTCTGATGAACCTGCCGATGTAGGGTTCTGGTCTCGTTTTCGTGGCGTTTGTTTTGTTTTGTTCTAGCACTGGGCGCGTCTCGGACCATGGTATGTCACGCAGGAAGCGTTGGGCAGGGGCGTCACCCGCGGCGGGAGCTTAGGGTTTTTGACCAATTGCTTCGGGTGTGAATCAGCGTGGCCTGTCCAATCTGTCCTGCCTTGGTCCTGCCCTGATAGTGCGGCCGTTGGAATCCTTCGTGATAGCGACGGTTTCTTCAATGTTTTGAGTTTGTAGGCGAGGGTTTTTGATCCGGATGGCCGAGTTTTCCCTTGCACCCGTTGTTGTATGAGTAACTTAAGTACATCTGGAGTATCCATGCCCCACTGATGGTTTGTCAATAGCTTGACGAACCGGGAAGGGTGTTCGTGTGTCTCGATACGAGCATGGTAGATCTGCTAGCAGCACGGGGGGGTACGTCGACAGGAGCATGCGTATGCCTGAAAAGGGCTACTATGTGTGGGCCCCCTTCCCCGAATTCGGGAGGGCCACTTCTTCCCTTCCTTTCCTCGCTCCCGCGGGTGCCTAATCAGAGAGTTCAAGCGTGTTTTCTCCTCCCAAGTACGGACATACCAACAGTGGAAGGACACCGAAACGCCTATTCACACCCAGAAAGTCATACATCTAAAACACAATACACACGTCCGCGCTTTAGATGCCCTCGCAGTCGGAAATACCCTCTCTCTGCCCCCCGGAAGCCCTACACGATATCGTTTTCGTGTGCTGCGGAGGGATCTCGGTTAACCCACTTCGGACCTGCCGGAGGCGCCTCTGGATATATTGAATTTGACTCATGTACTATTAGAGTAGCAGTGATTCTGCCGCAGTGAGAAAGGGCCCCCCAACGCGACAGAACAGATGAATATACCACTACAGTCGACCCCGCTTAAAAGACACACCACGTTTTCCCCCAAAAAAGTGTCTTTATCGCGGGGAAGTGTCTATAAATTCCGGGGCCACCAACGCACCCTCCCCGGGGCCAATGGAAGCGAAACATACGGCAAACGATGCGCATTCGCAGCAGAAAGGCGACCACAAGAGGTGTTGTTTGAAACCTACGACACAAGGTGATCTGAAGGTCGCAACCACTGCTGCTATTGTGCTGCAATACATACTTGCATACCATCGTTTGAATTTCCCTGTACTGTTACCACCAAAACGCTGAAAGCGATGCTGTTCTACGACCTACGCATCGTACATGTACACGACGGTAATGCGCTGGTGTTGATATGGGCTTAATCATTTGATTTATATTTTATTTTTTGGCGTTCTCCTCCCCGTGAATATCTTGCCAAAGATCTCGCTACCGCACCTGAGAAATATCGAAGGTTGTAAAACGACAGTAGGAAAATGTAGGTTACGCAGAAACACAGGGACCAAAAATGTCGGGAAAGCACAGGGACAAAGAGGACACCGCGCCTCTAAAAAGGTCAAAACGAGGCATAACACAACACAAACGCCAAATTCAACCTCACGAGACTTCATCCAAGGCAGCAGACGAACCGCTAGCAGATGGAATGAATCTTTCCATACACCCACACGCAGTGTGCGGCTGCAGCAGACCGCTGTTGATGATCCAGGATCTACAGGTGCTGCAGCACATTTTCTGGGGGGGTCGAATGGTGTAAAACCCTACTCCCCCCTACTTTTTCACATCTGCGGGGCACCATGTTTCTGAGATTTTTTGTGTCCTTAAAGCGGGGGGTGTCTTAAAAAATGGTGTCTTTAAAGCGGGGACGACTGTACCCCAACTTTGTACCCCCTAGAGATCACCCCAAACCAGCATCTTCACCAAGTACCACAAACATAACAGATGCGCCTCTTGACAAACGGCCATAGAATCTCCGTAACGAAACCAGACTTGTACAAAAAGAATGACCACGAAGTTGGAGGGATGCTCAAAACTCTTGAAGTATTCTCGAAGCGGATGACGAAAGGCTGGCCATCTTAAGCAAAAGTAGAAAATTCTTTCGCCAGAAGAGTCTCCAATTCAGGCTTCGCCAATTGAGCGAGCGGAGAGATACTTTCTGGGGGGGGGGGCGATTGCCATATCCGCAGGAAGGTGGTGGTCGGGTGAACTAGGGATATCCTGTTCTCAGACCTCGGAGGAATACGAAGAAGTTCGTCGCGGTCGATCTTGTTCACGGGGGCGGCCGGACAAAGAAAAACCCGATACGTCCACGGAGGTACGATTGTTCCTAGTTGGAATTGGTGTTCCAAAATCCCCCCTGGCTGTCGTCTCCACTTGCTCAGTGGCCGACCTAGTGCAGCAGTTGCACTGCATCACACGCCCTGTACCCCTCTGCAAGGACTTCCTGAAGTCACGAGGCTTCAAGGTGGGGTCTTGCTGCGAGACAACAACGAAAAAAACTGGCCACAGTAACAGCAAAACATCTAGTGCAAAAGGGGAGCGCGGGCAAAAGCGGCGGCGAAAACAAAAATGGGTGTTCGGGTGACATGGCTAATATGGTCACGATCACGATGCGTTCGGATGCTAATACTCCGTAATTTTCTTCTAAGTAATAACCAACAGCTTGTGCCCTAACGGAATCAAACTGTCTCTATACCTCGGCCATGGTTGACGACATATCCAGTTTCTGACTGGGGCTCGCGATAACATACTAACATGGACATTTTTTGGCAGTGCGGTAGTCGCGGCGCAGCAGGGTCTAACCCTAGGCACATGTTTTTATGCACACTTCCTCTGGGGGGATTACTTAGTACACTCACCCCAAAACCCTCCGATGTCGCCCAAGAGTTCGCCAATCGAAACGGGGGAATCCTCGGTAATAAATTCCAGCGAGTTTGGACCCTGCTTGATCCTGAGGTCTATAAACGCATAGGGCCGTGTGATGTTTGAGATATCCTCGCCCACCTGATGCGACAGCGGAGACATGCACGGAAACATGGTAAGGGAATGGGAGCTAGACAGCGTGTCCATCTGACAACAAATCATCAAAACACTTGGGTGGCATAACAATCATACCAATACCTACAAGTTTTGAGACTCTACTTCCTCACATTGCCATTTGAAACGCCGAAAACATCGACCCTGAAGGGCAAGCGTAACAAATCTTGACTACCCCATCAAACATTACTGGAAGCGCACATACGAACAAGCGACGCGCCGCTGACCTATGGTCGCTTCTTCACCTTGCGATTGAAATGTCCGAAACATTGAACCCAACTACACTTCTGGAAGTGCACATGCCCACAAGCGACGCTCGCTGAAGCGGCATCTTCGCTCGTCCGTTGCCAATCTCATGAAGAAACCATGGTACATGCTTCTCTGGGTCGTAGACCAGGATAAGCCGAGAGTTATGGTCAACTGGCGATAGTTCATCCATTTAGGCAAGCCGTTCTTCCCAACCTCCACAGCATATACATTTTTGATGAGCTCCATCATGAGGCTACTCGACGAGTATTTTACTTGCGGCATTTTCAACCTCTCGATAAATAACAATGTTAACGGTGGCTACATGTATCAACCCTGCATTTGCAAGGATAGCGAACCATCCATGCTGCTGAAAGTGCTTCGGCCACTCAATCCGTATAGCCCATTTGATAGGCTCCCTAAACCAAACAAATTCAACACACATCAGGAAGCTGTTTGGCGTCCTCCATGAAGCGCCGCGCTTCTCGCAAGAGCTCACGGAAGATATGTAACGCCCGTTCCACGATAAGGTAAGAAACTCGCCCCCGCTACTCACCGTGAGCCGCAAAGGCAGGCGAGTTGGTATGTTGGGTCTCTTTTGGACCACTTAAACCATCCGAGACCTTGCTAAACCTCTCGTGGTTTGAGCGTGAGGGACGCATCTGTATTTTAAAGGGCGACTTTCTAGTTTTGGTGGGAGCCGATAGCCAGAACTTGTTCAGTTCATTGTTGAAGGAATCATGCTTTCATTATTAATACACTGAAGTTGGTTTTTAGATTTTTCTCGAGTTCAACCCGGATAGAAACACAGCAAGGGTTGAACGAGAGCCCTACATTTGTGCGACCGACCTAAATTGGTTTCACGGCAAGCAATGATAGGCAAAAAGAGTGTCCGAGCTGCTGCTGAAAGCGGGGTAGCAGAAAGCCGGGGTTGTAGACATGATTTTCGACGAGCATTTACCTGCCAACCGGAGTAGACGCTTTCCAACGCGGATTTCGGCGATTTCTAGCTCCAACCATACCCCGACATCAATGTCACCCACCCAAGGTATCTGGAACCATGATCACCGATCTGTACGAACTGCTGCCCGAAATCGGGGCCAAGCTTGTTAGAATTGTTTTTGATGTAAGGAAGCCTACACAACTTGAACCCAGGTTGTCCAAATATTTAAGACCAACAACCCAACGTTGGTTCTATCAGAAACCACCAAATGTACGACCTGCTGCCAAATATGTGGCCAAGCTTGTCGTATAATTGTTTTTGATCTTAGGCCGTTCCTAACATATTCAGATTCTCAAACCAAAAAAGAGCCAAATCCACCTCGGGTGGAATCTGACTCGGGAAAGAATCTGGCATTCCCTACAGCGAGGGGAAAACGAAAATCTTGACGTTGATATATTTTGTACAAACGGTGTTGGGTTTACAAAACACTTTGGTCGATACAATCACAGACTTCGACTTCAGTTCTGAACATATCGCTACCACCAAGGGCTCCGAGCAGTCCTTGGCTGACGGTGCCGCTGTTGTGCCCACTAGCTGGTGATGTTTGATTGCGAGGCGAACGTGAAAAACACATTCCGCACCACACGCATCACGCAGAAGAAATCAAACCGCCTCTGTCAAGCAAATGAGGCAGCCCTCGGATAGAGACAAGATGCCACCGCATGCGAGTTGTCCCTCATTAGAGCATGGATTGACGTCGGCAAGATGGTACCTATATTCCTTATCGTTCATTCGGGCAAGCGTCGCTTAGCAGTTTGTTCACTCAATCGACAGAGGAAAGCATGTGCGTGTACACAAGCTGTCCGTTGAAATTGGTTCTGACGCGGTCAACATATCTCTATTTTCAAGTCACATACACAAGCAAGCGGGAAAAAAAAATTCGAACAAAGACCAACATGACCACCCGCGACGCTTCTCTCTGTCGATTGAGTAAACAAACTGCTAGCGACGCTGCCCCGTGGAAAGATAAGGAATATAGGTGAAATCAGGCCGACGTCAATCCATGCTCTAACCAGGGACAACTCGCATGCGGTGGCATCTTGTCTATCCGAGGGCTGCCTTTTTTGCTTCACAGAGGCGGTTTGACTTCTGTGTGATGCGTGTGGTGCGAAATGTTTTTTCGCGCTCGCTTCGCAATCAAACATCACCAGCTAGTGGGCACAACAACAGCAGCACCGTCGGCCAAGGGTTGCTTACAGCCCTTGGTAGCGATACGTTCAGACCTCAGGTCGAACTTACTTGTCGATAGTCGATGTGTTTGCGTGTGCGTGTGCGGTGCCATAAACTAAAAAAAAATAGACAGGAATCCGTACTGAGGTTGTGTCAGATTCTGCCTGAAGAATCTGACTAGATCCTTTCAAAAACAAAGGATGAAATCCGATTCCTCCAACTGGATTCTGGAAGAATCCGACTCAATAAGAACCAGTCTATGGGATAAATACTTAAACTATTGCCGTCAATTGAATCCCAGGATGTCCTCATTCAAATACACATGTACCCGGTTCCCTCCTTCCCCTCGCTGCCTCGGCAAGGCCTTTGCTTGGACATGGCTCACATCGAGGGGGGGGGGGGG